AAAAAAAAAATCATCAGCCCAAGAACTTCAAATCTATTGATGAACAACAATTACAACAGCCCATTTAATCCTTTGTCGTCTCAAGTTGTATTTTCCCACCACCAAAACGAAAAAAAAAATGATAAATTCAGGATTCAACCATTTGAGCAATTAGGGCTAGACGATTAAGAAGTGGGAGGCTAGATCTTTGGTGCTTTTACCGGTAAGGCCAAATTCGCGGTGCCGGGGCGGGTTGCGTCGCCCGATCTGAGATGGGCGGTGGACTGAGCGCCGGAGGATAAAGATGTTCTTTCTACTCTTTTTGTTCCTTCCGTCTTGGGCCACTGACTACTATTCATTCAGAGCTCTACAATTGGTTGGAGACTGGAAAGTGAATAATTAACGCGGGATGTTCTAAAAATTTTTAAAAATTTGCAAAAACAAAACTAGCCAGATTGTATTCAATTGAGATTTAAAGTGACACGAGACTTTTTAAGATAGACTTTTTAAGATTTGGAATTTTGTAATATTTAGATTTTACATGAATTTTGTAAAATCTTATATTTGAAGGTGGGATTAGAATTGGGAGTCCATATACTGAGTTTTTGAAAAAAAATTCCAGCAAATCTTTTAAAGTGTAATAATACATCAAGACTGTAACTTTTTAAAATTTAAATTGAATACCCTAAGATTTTTAAAAATCTTAGCAAATCTAAATTATATACACTAATTTTAAGACTTTAGAAATTCCAATTGAATACACCCTCATAAAAAGTGGCTAATTTCATATATTCAGAAATTAGTAACATTTGATCCTACTGGCCGTGCATATTGTCTCTGATGCGAATAGGGAGCGACAATTCTAAAACGCCTGTAACTGAGCTCGTATTGAAGGGGCGGGGCAATCAGTCGTGGGCGTGGTGTCGGGAAACAACAGTGGCAACAACGCGGAGCCGGGCCCACAAAAGCAGCAGTGGGTCGCGAGGCTAAGACGTAAAAGGGCCGATTAGAATATTATTTTTTGTATACTCAGGTTTCATGCTTACATTTGTCAATCTTGGACTTTTGTAGCTTCGGCTACTTCGGGAGTTAAGCCGCAAAATATGTCCTACTGTCAGCCGTACTACCCCTTTCATACCCTAATGCCCAGAAGGTCTAACGCCACAGTGATTACAAGTATTTGCCTTTCCTCTAGAGGTGGGAAAAGTTGTCGAGGGTTCGCTCCCTTTGGTAATCGATCCCCTTAAGCAGAGAATTCAGGCCAAACATGGACGGTCGTGCTACCTACAGCCTATCCCAGCATGGTCGATTAGAATATTATTAGTTTATATGTTGTTTTGGTTAAATTATTACTAGTTAAGACGTTTTTTACAATTTTTAATATTTCAGTAATTTCTTCTTTTTAAGTTGTATTGATCGATTGTCAAAAAGATAAGAAAAAAAAATAAAAAATGCTAGGTTTCAAGCACAAATCCTCGTGCATAATCGACGGACGCCAATGCGGGTTATTGCATTTTAACTTCCCAATACACGATCTTTACAATTGATACTTTTACTGAGAGAATTGACTGTGTATCATCATATTGAACAAGGAACAAATTGATCGATTGGAGGAGAGTGTGCATTCCATCAATGAGGACAAGCACTCAACGAACGAGGTCGTGGCGCAAATCGAACGAATGCTAATCCATACGGCCAATTGGCGATCACGAAAGTGCAACTCTGATCCGTCTTCGGAAGATTCCGCAAACTCAAAAAATGAGTCAGAATTTCAAAACGATTTTGCATATGATGAGGACAACCGATCGAGGGGGTAAAACCAATGCTAGAGACGTATGCGTGAGAGGTCAAAATTGATCTTGCCAACTTTTAACGAACTCGGTTTCGTGGCTGAACAACGCTAATCAATATTACAAAATCAACGAAAAAATCGGGAATTGGAAAGGGTCAAATTTGTCATCTACTACCTCGATGGAGAGACGAATGTTTGGTGGCAATGGTTGTTAAGGGTCTACAAAAGAAAAGACGCCAAGATCGGTGGAAATTTTGTGAAGTTCCGATGGGGTGATAGAGTTGGTACTATGGAGTTCCAATGGGGTGGTGGTCTGGTCACTTTAATGGTCGGTATTAAGGCAAGGGTCAAAAAAGCGAGCTTGAAAAGCATGGAGAATTTATGGAATAGTGGCAGCTAATACATTGTTGTTAAAGTGCACGACAAAAACATGGAGGACAAGCATACCACGCCGCGACACTAGGAGATAACCAACCTACTGTAGCAATTCGGCGAGGTGCTGGCTGAGCCTAGGAGACTCCCCCATGACGGGCCTTCGACCATCATATTCCCTTTAAGGACGAAAATTAATAAAGGAGCCTTGGTGAACAATGTATAATCTCCCTATATAAGGGAGTGATGTATACCTATTTTCACATTACATTTTTTAATTATTCTATACATACATACTGCATTATATCTTCTACAAGTGTTAACTTAAGCATCATGAACTCTTCATCGGAAAATCCATCCGGTGTGAAATATATAAGGGAATTTACAGTGTAGTCCAAATTTAGGTTCAAAATTTAAAAGTCAAAAAGTAATTATTCATAACTTACGGGTCAATATTAACTTGGACGTAAATGAAATAGTCAATTATTTACAGTTTAACAAATTACTCAACTAATTAATTTTTTTTTTTTATTTAGATTGTTTGTACAAAAATAAATTTATTTTAATGAATAAGACAATATAAGTTTTATAATTATACTTATTAGTCACATAGATTTTTAAAGATATGATAATATTTTACAAAAATAATTATTTTTTATGGAATCACATTGTAGTTAATCGAATTTCTGAATAATTTTTTTAAAATGACACTTATTTTGTAATGAATATAATGTAATTTGTTATCAGTTACATGTACCGTACGAGTTGTGTAGTAATTTAAATAGACATGTTGTAATTTTGCATCATTTAAATTTTATATAACATGTTCAATAAGTTAATATAGGTAAATTGTATTGCATATTGATTATATATTTTAATTTAAAAATATTATTTAATACTTATTTTTAATTTATAAACATTTATTAATATTTGTTACTCGAGTACTATTTAATATTTATTTTTAATTTATAAACATTTATTAATTTATAAACATTTATTAATATTTCTTATATTTAAAAAAAATAAAGCTTAAGAAAAAAATATATTGGCAAAGATTAATTCACCAACTTAATTTTGTCTGCTTAGTTGAAAAAAAAAAATCTACCTAACCTGTTACGATTTTCCATAAATAATGTTGGATAAAAAATGAATATTTGTAAAAAAAATTAATATTATGATTAGAACTTAAAGTATGGTGTAGTAATATTCATCTTGGCCAAAATATTATCAACATGGATCATGAAAATCAATCTTGTAATTTATTATAATAAATATTAATGAAAGTATAACAAATACTAATAAAATAATAATTATCTTGACCAAAATATTATCAATATGAATCACGAAAAATCTCTTGTAATTTATTATAATAAATATCAATGAAAATATTGCAGATATTAAAAAATTTATTTAAGTAATTTTTTGATCATATCTTATTTGATCTTATTTGAAAATGTGTATATAGAAACAATTAATGCATATATTTAAAAAATTTCTAAAAATGATATGCATTAAATGCTTCTTAATTTTTTGGCTACTATTTATAGTAAATGGTAATTCTTATTATATAGATATAAATATAAATATAGATATAGATATAGATATAGAATCTAGTAAATGAAATGACTTTTTATATAAGTATGGATATAAAAATTAGTTTAATATAGTGGCAATCTGTTAAGGCCATTACAATATTAAAGCCCACGCATATTAATTCAACCCACATTAGCCCATAGTTAAGGATGAATAGTACAACGATTTCCAACATTCAATTTTTTATTTATTTATCACTATTATTATTACTAGTACGTACTCCGTACGATGCACGAGCTGTATTTATTTTGGTAAAATATATAATTGAAGGCTATTAATCAATAAGTTATATAATACATAGAACATTTGTTAGGTAATCGTAAAAAATCATCATGAAAAAATCATACATCATTAAAAAGCTCTTTGTTTTTCCCTGCAAAATTATTTTTCACTTGGTAACTCTAAATTGATATTTACCAAGAGAGTAATGCTACAAGTACATAATATTGTACATAATGGTGTACATAACACTCACATTGGTAATTGTGAATTGCATAGACACCTCATTCCTTCATTTTTTTGTTGATTTTCGGAATGTTACCACCATGAAATAAAACTATAGTGAAAATATGTGATATTGTGATAGATACTAAAAATATGATTATCTGGTGAAGTTTAATTTTATATCGAGTATAAGGAAAATTCTTACCTTAAAGTTAAAGTGTGGATTTTGAGTATATATCATTTTTTTGTCAATCATTCTCATTTTTTATGCCAAATTCATTCCAAAAATTGAGAACGATTTTGTTTTGTTATGTTTTAACAGATATTTGGAATTTTGGTTGTATCTTTTGTAAAACATATTTATAAAAATAATAACGTTTAAAAAACAACAACGATATTTTATCATTTGTAGATAAAAAATAATTAAATAAATCGGAGGACATGTAAATCATGGTTTTAAATGAAAAATATGTTTCATAAAAAGAATGATAAGAAAATGATTCAAAATGATAAAAAGAAATCATATATTATAACAAAAAGATGTTTACATGAGTAGTGGATTAGTGAATAAAAAATTGTGGCAATTTTAAAAACATGTTACCGTGATTGAATTGAAATCTTTAGAATATTTTCTACTTTTAGTTAAGTTGCATATATTGCATAACTATATATATAGAAAAATAAAATATTTAAAGTTCAAATTGGCGATTTATTTATATGTATATAATAAAGTGTACAGTTAAAAAAAAATAAATTTTATTTAGCATTTATATTGTTAATATTGATACCGTGATTATTGTAAAGTCCAACTCTCATTTTTACGGTAAATTTATATTATATAAAAATGAATTGATAAGTCTAAAAAGAGATATGGATTGAATTAAAAAGATTGAATTGTGGTTAAATATCTTGATATCATAATTATACTGTTTTTTAAAAAGATATTCCATAACATTTGGTTCTATAATAATACTGCTTTTAAATATAATTGATTCCAAATAGTCGGATTTAGTGTTTAATAAAATATTATGAAATATCTTTTTTAAAATATCTAATTATTAATTTGTTTTTTGTTTCTTATTTATATTTTATTTATATTTTTGCCAATTGACAATATTATGTTTGATCACATTGTGCACGCATATAATTTTTTAGATA